CATCCACCTTTCCTTCGATCCATCCACCCACCCACTCACCCAGTCATTCACAATTTACTTATCTAATACCTACAACTTGACAGTATTCTTGGGGTTGGCAATAGGGTTGTTAAGGTGATGATATTTTAGTAGCAACAGGCATATAAAGAACAAATCAATACATAACTTCAGGTGGTGATAGCTATTAAAAAAATAGAGGGGGAAATGGACTGAGATGATGGAGGAGTTTGATTTTGAACAAGATAGTCCACTAAGGGATCTCTGGAGGGAGAACATTTGAGCAGAGATCTGAGTAAAGTGACAGTGTGGTGAAAGCCTGCAAATCTGGGAGAATGTTCAGACAGGGGAGAACAAAAGCAGAGGCTGAGGCAGGACAGCTTTCGCTGTTAGAACAGTAACTATCACTGTCAGTGTCTCGCCCTCATAGAGCACCAGTGCCAGATCCTGTTTTAAGAACTTTACATGCATTTCTTCCTTTGGTTCTGACAACAACCAGTAAGAGTATTTTAGCATCATTCTCCAAAGCACAGAGCGGTTTGGAAACTTCTCCTGATCACACAGCAAGTAAGTAACAGAGCTGATGCGGCTTTCATCCTGCACGCTCCAGAGCGCTGGAGCCCAGTGGGACCACAGGAGATGGTGATGCAGGCCGAGTAGGCAAGAACTGGATCTCATGGGGGCGCGAGAAGTGATGAGAGGGACCGAGGATGGTCACCAGCACACATGAACACGGGGCACTTAAAATGTGGCTGGTGAGACTGCAAATTACATTTTAAATTTTATTGTGTTTTAAATTCACTTAAAGGTAAAAATAACCACATGTAGTGAATGGCTACCCGATTGGCTGTGCTGTTATAGAAGTTACCCTTAATTTTTAATTCACATACTTAAGTGTAAATACTTCTGGAAGCATCCAGAGTAACCCAGAAGTATATCTCACCTCTTCCCACCCCAGATCTGAAGAATTTATAAGACTATATCCCCAAGTTTTGGCTTTTCTCTGAAGCAGGTGCTATTGTGAATACTTTGTGTGCAATAACTCATTGATGAGCTATTAACTACTGATGAGCTGGGCTTTTGTGTTATTTACGAATGAGTGAACTCATGATCAAAGAGGTGAATGAGTTGCCCAAGGTCAAGAGTAGCGATGGCCCACAGTCCACTGACCACTTCATGTTAAAACCTCGTGTACATGAGTTCGCTGTGTTCTTACTGTGCTTCTCTCCCTCTCTGTTACGCAATACTTTTTTGCAAGGGGAGGAGTTGGTGGGTGGAAGATTCATCTCCCACTTTCTGCATACCCCTCTCCCTCCACTGCCAGTGCCCCCACCGCAGGAAGTAACCCCCTACCAGCACCTGTCAGCCTTGTCCTTCCTGTTCATGACCAGCCATACGTACGGGCCATCCTGCAGCCCAGGGCCTGCTGTGTCTCACACCCAAGTCCTCTCCCTACCATCTAAGGCTCCTGGCAGCCAGGTGGGCGGGTTCTTTCAGGTCCGGGAGGCAATCAAGGGAGAGCCTGGAATTTGTTTGTCTTTGCCTGGGTTCCTCTGGCAGTAGAAGAGAGCCATGGTGCCAAAGGGTTCAGAGGTGCAGCTGACACCACAGGTCCATTGGAAAATGGACCCGTGCAGATTCGGGTCCTGGTGATGAAGGACCCCAACTCTGCACGGAGCAGACGCTCAGTAAGTGGCTGCTGGATTAATTTAGGGGACACAAAGGGATAGGAAGGGCAGGGGTCAGCTGCCAGGGCCAAGCTGAGTGCCCATGGAAGCACCTTGACCTCTCTGGACCTCAGTTTCCCTCAGTGCCTTGATGGTTAACAGCAGGGTCTCTGAGTGGTGGTTTCCAGTAGTGCTATACCACAAGCGGCACAGGGCTTAGCGATGCAGACAGGGGCCAGAGCGCTGGCATTCTATCTGGGCTTGTCCTCGCCACAGCTGGGACCTTGGGCAGTTCCTTTAGTCCCTCTGACTGCATCATCTACAAACAGAGAGGGTCGTAATACCCACCTCCTATGCCTGTCTATCCTGTACCCTGTTAGCTTCAGGATTCTCCAGCGAACAACCCAGAGCGAGTTTTTAGACACAGCTCAGGCCATGTCCCGCTCCAGCTTAAAACCCTTCTCTAGTGTCCCATGACATTTGGCACAAAACCCAGAGGTCTCGCCAAGGTCTACACATCCCTGCACAAGCCAGCCCTACCTACCTGACCGCCTCGCTCCCCGCTTCCTTGTCCAGTGTGCTGGACCTCTGCCTCAGGGCCTTTGCACCTGCTGTGCCGCCCCCTGGAGGCTCCTCACCCAGATCTCAGCAAGCCAACCTGTGTGTGCTCCCCCCCAATGCCTCCTAGTGGGGGGAGGCCCAGCTCCCTCTACGCTCCCCCTCACACTCCCTTACCTTCCGTACTGCAGAGCACCTCTGTTCTCTGAGGCCATTTCTGTTCATTTATTGAGGCTTTTGAATCCAGAGAGAAAAATGGAAACCTTGGGCCCCTGCAGCAGCCAGGCAACTCCCCCTTCCCCCACAACACTAGACCCAAGTCTTTTCTCTCCACTGATGCATCTCCAGGTCAGCTTTTGCCTGTTTTGTTCTCTGGCACTGTGGGCCTAGACCAGTGCCTGGCACACAATTCTTTGACGAGCTTGCTCCTTTCGGAGCTTCTATTTCTTCATCTACAAAACAGGGTCCATTTCACCTGTCCGGACCTGAGAACCCCGACATGCGCTCTGAGCAAGGAAGTGGCCCATTTGAGTCACTTTTTCTGGGCAGAAAGGAGGGAGGAAGGAAGTGCACCCAAGTTCCTTCCCAGCCCCCAGCCAGGCCTCAGCGCAGCCGGCCAACGGGGGTGGGGGGGGTCGGAATGTGGTGGGGGAGGGCGCGGGGCGCGCGCATTGGTGGGGCGCCCGCAGGGCTGGGCGGCAGCCAGAGCAGGGCCACGTTGCGCGACTTACCCATGGTGAGCTGGACTGCCGGCTGCGGGGCTGGGCGGCCTGCGCATCACCGGAGGGTGTCCCCACGCAGCCGCCTACAAACTTTCCGGCCCGCCTCTAGCCTGGGTCCCTCCCACCCCGCCTGCCTGCAGCTGAAGCCGCTGCCACGTCAACCGGCCTTGGCCCCAGCTGTGTGGGGGCCGGATGGAGAGAAGCAGAACACCAGGGTCGGAAGGGCTGGGGGTGGGGGGGAGTGGATTGGTCGCCCCCCCATCCTTCCTTGGGGGGAGTCATCCTCTGGTGGGGGTTGGGGGGGCAGTTCCCCACTGGCTCTCCTTCCTGCAGGAAGAATGACCACAGTCCACAGTCCTGGTACACACACAAACACACACTCTCTCTCTCTCTCTCTCTCTCTCTCTCTCTGTCTCTCAGGCATCTACACTGGCCATGACACGCACACCCTCTCCAGGCACTCAGTCTCCCATGCATTCACTTCTGTTCATTGGACACTTAGACTTGGACACCTCCCACTGTCCACATGTGCTGGGCCCTGGACTTGGACTGAAGAACAAGGCAGATTTTTTTTTTCATTTTCGTGGAGTTTACTTTCTCTTGCAGGAAGAAGTAAAACAAATAAAGAGCCAGAGAAATGGCAGTTGGGAGGACAAGCGAGGCAGAGCATTAAGGCAGGTGGTGAGGGGTTCGCCAGGCCCAGTGGCTGCTTCAGCTGACGATCTGGACGGGGGCTCTGTCCACGGGATAGTTGAGCTGAGAACTGAAGTCCGGGCAGAAGGAGCAGCAAAGCCCAGTGCAGGAGGGAGCTCAGGAATGCAAAGAACAACAGAAATGAAGCCAGAGCAGGGTTGGCTGCAGGCGTGGAGCGGCGGGCCGAGGGGGCTTGCGGGGCTGCACCCGTCAGGCCTTGAGAGGTCAGGAATACATGGGCCCAACCGGGTTTTATTCCACATCACACGAGAAGTCACTGGGAGCCCTCATGGGTTCTAAGGAGCAAAGGCAGAAAGGGGGGTGACCGGGAGGCTGCTGGCAAGTGAGAGGTGGAGGTGTTGGACTGAGGTGGTAGCAGAAGGGAGGGAGAAAGGTAGGCAGATGGCAGGCAGACAGACTGGAAAGGGCTTACATCCTGGGAGAGGAGGGGCTTGGGGTGGGGAGAGATCGCAGCTGTGTTGGTGGGGTGACTTTAAGCACCCCTTAGGCATCCATGTGGAAATAGGAGGTGGCTTGATTTTTCAGAACTGGGATTTCTGGAAATCCCAGCTGGGGAACTCCCCTACCCCCCACTTCTTACTTGTTGGCTCGGCAAGCTCAGCACTCACGTGGGCACAAGCTTATCTACTTTCCCTAGGTGTGTTCACATCTGCACACGCATCCGAGAGCCTCAGCACACGCCCCGTGCAGCATGCATGGTGTGCTACAGACCACACAGGCAGAGAGCGGGTCCGAGCCAGGGGGCCCCGCATGCAGCTCTGAAAGGAATAATAGCCGGGGCAGGTTGAAACAGTGCAAAGTTCTCTGCCCCCTCCCTTGAATCTAAATGGGCCTGTGATGGCTTCCTCCACTAGGTCACGCAGAGTGATGTGGGGTGGCGGCCGAGGCGGGGTTACAGGGACATAGGCACCCACAGCCCCAGGCCTCCAGGTAAGAAGTCCCACTTCCAGGAGGCTGCCATGGTGTGAGGAAGCCCAGGAAACACAGAAGGCATTGTGTGGATGCGTCAGTGGTGGCTCCAGGCTCTGAGTCGTCCCAGCACTGTTTCTGAAGGAGTCGGGATGATTCTAGCTCTCAGACCTCGGATCTTTCAGGTGAAGCCTTGGGCTTTGTGGAATTGAGACAAGCTACCCCTGCTGCTCCCAGTCTGGATTCTTGACCCAGAAATTCCAAGAGTGTGATTAAACAGCTGTTTCCAAGTGCAAAATTTTATAGGAAGTTGTTCTGCAAAGTAACTGGAACAATAGCTTAAACGATGGAGCAATAATTACATACTGTGAAGTGATTTGTATGTGTGAGTTCACTGCTAACTACCTAGTAAGATGGGACTATTACGATTGACCCCATTTTATGAACAGTGCTCCTGAGGCCAGGAGGGGGTAAAGTAACTTGCTTGTGTAATAAACAAAGCGCTAAATCAGATACATAAATAGTGTGCAAGGACACACTTAGCCCTCAGCCGACTGGGCATGAAGCCCAGTTCTGGAGAAACCAGGTTCTGATCTGTTATGCCCGACTGCCTTTCTGGCAGGGATCAGAGTTCTGGGAGGCCTCCTTCTTTAGCAACTCTCTGGAACTGTCCACCAGGAGACCGGGCACAACCAGACCTGGACTCTCCTGTCCTGGGCTATCCTGGGACACCAGCTGGAAAGGGGCATGAACTCCCCGAAGTTCTTTGTTCTCTTTGGCTTGCGTGAAGTCATGAGGACATCTATGTGCTTGTTGATGTCTCTCACTAGAGAACAGAGAATTCTTCCTTTATTGCCCCACATGACAAAGGAAAAGTTTCTAGGGGTATTTGGGTAGGCGTCTTCCAAAGTGGCTTCCCCTGATGTTGGCAAGCACCAAGCATGTAGCAATTCACTTCTAACCAATAAAGTGCAATGAAAGAGTGATGACAGCCTGTTAGAGGTCAGGTTAGAAAGGACAGCAGTCCCCTCCTGCTCAGTCATTCCAGATCACTCACCCATTCCCTCTGGTGAAGGCCCCAGTCTGGGGATTGAGAGTGGCCTGGAAGCAACAGCCATCAAGGAACTAAATCCTCCCACTAATCAAATAGTTACACAAGTAAACAACAGGTCCTGTGACAACGCAGAAGGGGAGAAAGGTCCACAGGACACCACTGAATTTCCCTCCTCTGAGAAGTCAGGGAGGGCCTCCCTGAGGAGGCAATATTGGAACTGAGAAGAGAGGGAGGTCTGGATGGGTCTAGGCAACAAAGACAGGGAAGAACACTTCTGACATGGGGCAAAAGCAGGTGCAACGGTCCTGTGCCAAGCGGAGTCTGATAGGAATGAGAACTAAGAGGAAGTAACTAAGAGGAATGAGAACTAAGAGGGGGTTTAGTGGGCAACGAGACATGGAGACCCCTGAAGGACCATGTGGGCCTCTATTCTAAGCATAATGTGGGGTCATTGAAAGGGTTGAAACTGGGTTTCCTACCACAGAAGCCAGAACCCATCCGTCCACAGGCAGTCTGTGTGCACAGGGAATTGTCCAGTGGAGGGTTTAGAGCTGGTAGCCACAGAGATGGCTATACGGATGCTACCAGTTATGATAACGGAGCCACAAACTTGAGAAACTGGATATTACAAATAGAATTGGTTCTGGGTGAGCTTTGAGTCTTGCTGGACAGCTGCTGGGAGCCACTTTACGTGGACACAAAGGGTCTGGTGTTTGGAAAGGTGAGTGACCCTGTGTGTGAATGAGAGGCAGGGACCGCGGAGCTGAGGTGATGCCATAGCACCCCTAGGCCACAGGCCTTTTCTCAGTACTTCACATAGGGTCCCCTGATGGGGCAGGAAAACAAACATGAAAATTGCAAGCTCTCTGCCAGTATTTAACTTCTATAAGCAATTGTGGAAGTAAAATTACTTATTCTCACTTTGAAGATGATGAATTTGAAGCTCAGAGAAATGTCTGGCTGCCTCCCCCCCACAGCTACATCCAGCTCCTTCCCCTTGCTCGAAGGGCTGCCTCCTGCAGTAGGGGCTGAAATGCCACATCCTCCCAGTTCCAGCTTCTTGTACAGCCAATGCAAAGACACATGGCCCAGTGGTGACCAGGCAGGTCTGGCGCAGGAGTCTGGTGGGGAGCGGAGGGACCTCCAGCGAAAGGGGTTGTCTCAGATAGAGAGGTGGACAGGAGATAGCACCAGCCTTCTTTTTGTATCTTCTTATGATGTAGGCAATGTTGGTGGCCATTTTGTAGCCATCAGGTGACAAAGATAAAGACCAAAGCAAGATATTGGGGCTGGTGAAGGACACGAATATACACGGAGGTGGAAAGATCTTGGGTCCTTCATAAAGTGAGTTAAGTACCGGGGACCCCCTACCTTTTTTTTTTTAAAGATTTATTTATTTGTGCATACAGAACTGGGGTACAGGCCAGAGGCTCAGGGGCGGTGAGAGGCTTCACCAGAGACAGAGCGGGGAGCAGAACAGGCAGATCGACGAAGTACACTGCTGAGGGGAGCAGCAGGCAGGTCAGGCGAGGTCTGCCTCGCCATGTGGTCATCTCCGGGGCAGGCAGGAATCGAACTCTTGCTGAAGTGGCTTTAGCTTCTCAGTGCTGTGCTATAACCTGCTGTGCCACCAGGGAGGGCCGAGGGACCCCCTACCTTTTAAAATATTCTGTGAAATAAACAATAAATGAATTGATTATCTACCCCAGTTAAGTGAGTTGAGTAATCTGTTACTTGCACCTTAAATAGCACCCCCAGTAATTGTCCCCACTGTCATAATCCTCCAAAGCTGTAGCTGCATCCACAGCCACCCTGCTAGAATATGCCTTCCAGGCCTCTTTGCAGCCTGGATCACGTGGCTAAGCTCTGACCATCAGGAGGGAGTGGACATTAGTATGGAACTTTGGATCAAGTCCGAAACTTGGCTTCTTGCTGGCTAGAGTGGGGACAAACAGAATGGACTCAGAGAAGACAGCAGTGAGTTAAGGATGATAGATCTGGATGGCTCGTCACAGAAATAAACACCTCATATTTCAGTCACTAGTTTTGGGTTTGTTGGTTAAGCAACTTATTCTGTAGCTTCAGTGACACAGTAACCAACAATCTGCAGAGCCTGGCAGTGACGGTCAAGTCAGCTTCTTGTAAACTGCTCCGAAGTGTGAGCACCAGAGGCCAGTGTAAGGGGTTCAGGAGGGGCTGCTGCTGTGGGACAAGTTTCCTCCTGGACAACATACCACAGGGGAGCCGCCTTCCTCTCTGAATAGTGCACATTCCTGCGTCCAGCGGTTTCTGGCATATAGTATTCATTGAGTGCAAGTTTGTTGAATGAGTTAGTAAATACTCTTTAGAGCAGCGAGTGACTAATAGGCACCTGAGGTTTCATGTGTGCAAAATTATGTACTGTATAACTGTATTAGAGCCTCTATTAGCTTTCCTATTAAGAAAACAGATGCAAGTAGTAAAAGTTGTTGGCTCATCACTCCCAATTCAGTCAGCTCTGTCTCCTCTGGGAATTTTTCCTGGATCACGGGCCTCTGCGGCCTCACCCTCCCTCCATACTGAGTCTCAACTTTTTTCTGGAAGATAGTTTTTGCATTTTGCAGTTATTCCTGACTGCACTCTAGAAGCTCTCATTACCCCAGCACCAAGACAATGGTGGGTACACGGTGCATTATCTGTGTCCACACAGATCTGTCTAGTGTGATCTTTTGTGGGGTGGAGGGAGGGCGGGATAATTCAGGAAGCAAGAAAACAGGAGAACTCCAGGGGGTTCAGCTCCCCACGCTCAAGCGAGACTCCCGAAAAGAGCAGAGATCCCGAAAAATGTTTTTCTGAAGAGGCACCAAAGTTTTCCTGAAAGAGCCAAAGAACTGGAAGGCGGAGGGTCACCAAGACCAGCAGCGCGAGTGGCCGTGAGTTTCCGGAGAGGAGGGACGTGCCGAGCATTACCGAGGGTTTACGACGTTAGCCGAAGAGCTGGGAGGCGGGGCCTCAAGTCTTTTAATGTTTGGGAGGCGGGACCTCGTCCAAAGGGCGGAGGTGTCGGAAAGGACCGAGGGTTTCCGGAGCGAGCCGAAGCTGTACCGACAGCTTCCGGAAAGAGCCGAGCATGTCCGAGCGGCGGCGCGGCGACGCAATCATGGCGGCGACCGGCTCCTCTGTGAATGAGAAGAATGAGGACCCGGCGTTGGAGGCCGAGGCGCTGGCCGCGGCCCGGGAGCGAAACAGCCGCTTCTTGAGCGGCCTGGAGCTGGTGAAGCAGGGCGCCGAGGCGCGTGTGTTCCGTGGCCGCTTCCAGGGCCGCGCGGCTGTGGTGAAGCACCGCTTCCCGAAGGGCTACCGGCACCCGGCGCTGGAGGCGCGGCTCGGCCGGCGACGGACGGTGCAGGAGGCCCGGGCGCTGCTCCGCTGCCGCCGCGCAGGTGAGGGGGCCCCGCTCCGGCTGAGGGGGGCTCCCCAGCGACGCGGGTACAGCCGCCCCGCTCGGGGGCGCGGTGGGGGGCCCGGAGGCGCTGGGACCCGAGCCCCTGCCGCCACGTGCCTCAGTTTCTCGGCGTGTACCGTCTGCCGTGACTTGCCTCTCTTCAGTCGTTAAATCGTAAAAGCCGCTTGGCCTGACACCCGCGCTCGCTGGCCCTGGAGTCTTGGCGCCAGGCTATGCCGCTGTTGCTTCCCGTTGAGCGTGTCGCTTCACCCGAGCCTCCGTTTCGCCCTTTGTCCGCCGCAGTTTTCGACCACTGACTCGTCAGTGTTATCCTAAGCACGTGTCCTAGCAAGTACTTGCCCACAAGTCAGGTTCCCTGGGTTCAGACACCGACTGCTGCTTCCTATGTAGCCTCTCGTGGCACTTTACTCACCTGTGAAGTCTCTCACAGGAGAGTCGTAGCAGTAGTGTCCACGTCCGCAGTGTCCACTTCTGCAGGATGCCGTGACCGGGTAGCTAGCGGGCTCTGTGTCTGCCACCTACTATGTTTGCAAGCGTGATTGGCATGTCGTGCTCAGCAACTGTCAGATACACGAAGTCATTTATTTTATGTTTTATTAAACCACCGTCGTACACATAATCACCGTCGTGCACATAATCATCAACCTCGACCTCATGGGAGAAGCTGAGGCTGAGGTCACCTGGGGACGCCACTTCCATAGGGTGATAGTGAGTGACTTAGCCCGACTCTCAGCCCATATCCTGACTCGGAAACTGACTTTTCACTTTTACATTAACGGACTTTAGTGCGTTTTAGGCATCTGAATACATCAGGACATTGTGAGTTGCTGGGAAATCTGGAGGAAGTTCAGTAGGGAGTAAGCAGACACATCTCGCTGTTGCTCGGACTTAAGTTATTTGTGTTTATATTTTCTGTTTTCACCTCTGGGATATAAGTTTATTAAGCAGGCATCACGGCTGCCTGCCTTCCTGCTGTGTCCCCAGGTGTGTTTCTAGTATCTACAAAAGCATCCTGAGCATGATTGACATTCAGTAAGGATTCACTGATTCATCAAATTATTGGCCTTATTGTACTCATGTTATAGAAGCAGAAACAGAGGCTTAGAGAAGTTCATGTTTATGGTTACACAATTAATAAAGGGTGAAAGCCTTGAAATGTCATCCACAGTTTGAGCAGACAAGACTCCACCACTCGGAGGATGAGAGTAACGACCAGGACCCCAATGAGTGAGGAGATCCAAGATCACCATCCTGTAAACCAGCCCCATGGCCTTGCATCCTGGGGAGTCTCCAGCCTTGTGGAGACAGAGGGCTGCGTGATTCAGGGAACAAGGGCAAAGAGCAAAAGACGTGAAAATATTCTAACAGTGGGGAGAGGCCGGCTGAGGGTCCCATCGGTGGAAACCCGTGAGCCGAGGCTTTGCTGTGGTAGGGTGCGGGCGGGATGCGGTTTAAGGAGCCTGCCTCTGGGAAGCCGCTGCTTCCTCTGCGTGTTCATTTCCGGCTGGCCCTGGAGCACAGCTCACGGTCGCCGCTATTCCTCCACTGTAAATGTAAGCCTCAGAGAAAGCTAGGTAAGTGTTTCTTCTTTTTGTGTAATTCTTATGTCTTGATTGCAGGAATATCTGCCCCCGTTGTCTTTTTTGTGGACTATGTTTCCAACTGCTTGTACATGGAAGAAATTGAAGGCTCAGTGACTGTTCGGGATTATATTCAATCCACAATGGAGACGGAAAAAAGCCCCCAGAGTCTCTTTGGCTTAGCCAGGTCTGTTGGGCAGGTTTTGGCTCGAATGCATGACGAAGACCTCATTCATGGCGACCTCACTACCTCAAACATGCTCCTGAAACCCCCCCTGGAACAGCTGAACATCGTGCTCATAGACTTTGGGCTGAGTTACATTTCAGCACTCCCAGAAGATAAGGGAGTGGACCTCTACGTGCTGGAGAAAGCCTTCCTCAGTACCCATCCCAACACCGAGACTGTGTTTGAGGCTTTTCTGAAGAGCTATTCCACCGCCTCCAAAAAGGCCAGGCCAGTGCTAAAGAAACTAGACGAAGTGCGCCTGAGAGGAAGGAAGAGGTCCATGGTTGGGTAGAAGAATGTGTCTGGCAGCCCCAGACAGCTAAGCTGGGGGTATGCAGGACAGCTGCAAGTCCGTGAGCCCTAAATAAAGGTGCTGTGCTGGTCTTCCGTGCGCTCTGTGGTCATCGGTCATTGTCCTCTGCAGTTGACCGCTCCCGAGAAGCACTGTGGATGTGAGAGACAGATGTGGGAAGCAGAGCTAGCGAGCAGACCCCGGGCCGGCTTTCTCACTGGGGCATGCGTTCCCAGGTACCTGTGCCTGGCAGTAAAAAGCGCTGGACCACATAGTGAGGGCATCATTTTCTTGAGTCCTGGTAAGACCAGGACAAAATCTCAGCAGGTGACAGCAGGCCCGGAGTGTCCCAAACCCAGCTTCTCTGGTTGTGTCTGTGATAGGCCTCGTGAAACCTATATAGTGGATGTAGCCAGCATTTTGAAATGAAATAACTACAACTGTCAGTGCTTTACATGCATATTGTAAATACTGTCTTAGGAAGCTTGCTTCGTGTGTGTGTGTGTGGCTAATGATATGTACGGTTTCCCATATAAAACAGATTTCTTTTTGAGGACCATCGTAAAAAAAAAAAACATTGCTGTTTCACTCCAGTTTTTCCTGTAAAAAATCAGGTTCATCAGCTTCAGGCAGCCGAAACTTTTGTAATTTTATGTGCCATTGTTTTTTATTGTTATTCTCTCTATTTTTAGTTTCTAGTTGAGACAAATGATTGCTACAAAGTTCCTTTGAATTTCTACAGATAAAAAAGTCAATTTACATTATAGGCAGTAAGAGCAAAAATGGGAAAGTAACTTTGGACTAAGTTGGATAAAGTTTGATTTAAGTCACTGGAAAACTTACAGCTTATTAGCTTGTACTTCACCTTACCCGGCCTCAGTTTCTGTTTCTTCCCCAAAGGAAGAGTGTGTATGTGCCCCTGGGGTGGGGAGTAATGAGGGGAGAGGAATAATAAAATACCTTTCTTTTTCTTTACTGTAAGCTCGAAATAGCACCTAAATGAATTATTTCAAGCACCACCATGCGTGTAGGGAGCAAGGGTGAACAACACAGATGTGAGCACCGGGGGGCCGGGGGGGTCTCTTTGGTTCACCACAGCCAGCTGAGGGAAAACTTCCCCTCTGGAGGGTGGTGACTAGCAGAGAAAATGAGAGCTGCTGCTGGTTACTGCACGTCTGACACTGTGCCACACCTTAGGTTGGATCTAAAACAACTTCAAGGCGCTGTTTTCATTTTGTAGGTGGGGAGATGGCTCAGGAAGGAGAATTTGTACAAGATGTCACAGGAAGTCAGGGATGCTTGTCCCATGCTCCAAAGCCCATGCTCTTCCCAGTGATCCTTTAGGAAACGAACTTCTGAATATGACATGATTTCATATTTTTATAACATGGATTGGCATTGCCTAACATTTTCAAAAACTCCAATGGCCACAGGAGCTAGCAATTTTTTCAAGGAATCTTCCCAATAGGCCCCAGAGGGGCTCTAAGGCTAGTAAGGCCAACATCTGTGACTTGCAGCCGTGACTGGTTGACCCGTGTTCAGGTGCCAAGGCAGCAAATGGCCAGTACTCCCTTGGTACCAGCACTGGAGATGGAGTGCGGACACAACCAACCTTACTCTTCTGGGTAACTGAGTACCTCAGGCAGCCACAAGACAGGAGTAGCAGCTCCTGAGAGGATTCTGAGAGGAGGAGGGGTCAGGAGACCAGGAGGTGGGCGAGTGCCTTCCAGGCAAAAGGACCATCTTGTGCAAAGTAGGTAGAGGAGGAGCAGCCTGGAGGGACAGCCAGGTCAGAGCAGCTTGTCTGCTGTGAGGGAGGAGGAGTAAAAATGAGATCAGAGAGGTGGGTGAAGACCAAGTCAGTTTGCATTTTGTTCTTAATGGGACTTGAGATTTAAACATGGAGACTTCTGGTTTATGATTCTAAAGAATTACATTGGGAGAAAAGGGACTAAAGGGTGAGAGTGGAAGCAAGAAACCAGTGAGAAGCCTGTGCCACCGGTGGGCCCAGTGATGATGGTAGCTGATTGGCATCCGCTAGTGTGTGTGAAGTGGTACCCAGTGGCAGTAGCAGTCAGGAAGCAAACATGATCTTTGCAAGTGCTGTGAGGGAGAGAGGCGCTTCACACGTTTGTCTGCGTCTCAGCCCATGGCCAGTGAGGGTTCCACACACTCCTTGGCCACTGGTGGGTGCCTTCCTTCCCTTGTTCCGTGTCACAAAGGCCTTTCCTCTGGGTCCTCGTGGGTTAGCTGGGGCTTGGCAGCTATGAGCCCGTGGCCCTAGCCGCTCTCAGTTTCTACCCAAATCCTCCCTAGCAGGGGTCATAAGCCCCATTTTGCAGGTGAGGAAACTTTCTCAGCAATGTGAAACATTTCCTAAGGCAGTAAGTGATAGCTGGGACTCATACAATTACATAAAAACAACAGAGGGTTCATTGTACAGAGCAGATACTGAAGTTCTTTGCATGCATTAACCCATTGTGCGGAGTAGGCAAGGAGACACAAACTCAGGCTTGCCTGAGGTCACGCTGGTCGTCAGGAGTCAGGAAGTGTGACCGGACCTGGGATGCCTATGGCCTATTTCCTGGACCACTGAAGGGCCCCTGGTGGTGGGTAGGCCCCGGCCCACAGAGTGGAGCCTTTAAAGCCTGGCATCGCCAGGGCCTCCTGCAGGCTGTTCATTTTGAAGAGATGAGGTAGCTATACTCACACCAGTGCTGCTGATGGGACTTGGGAGGGGCCTACACGTGGGCTATAGTTTCTGCTGTAAACTTAGAAAGTAAACCCTGATCTGGTACCAATAAAATTTTATTTATGAAAACAGACTGATTGGGAAGCCATAGTTTGCTGATTTGATGTTTAGAGCTAAAAATACTTGTCTTGCTCAGATATCCCCTTAAGTTTGTGCCCCAGGCAAGCGCCTCACTGCTCCCCAATCTTCACCCCGCTCGCTGACAGCTAGACCCCAACCCTGGGAACCTGTGTCCTTATAAGGGCCTGTCCCTCTGGCTCCTTTGAGAACTGGCATCTTGTCTTGTGTCCTGAATTCTGGACTCTGCAGCTCCCAAGAACAGAATTCCCTTTCCCGAACCTAGCAGGGCGGCTCTCCTGCCACTAGAGGGCGCACGTTACTGTCATTCTCTGGTACTCTGCAGAGGCGAGAATCAGCAGCTTTGCTTCTGTTCCTCCTGCACCCTTGTCTCTGTCAGCTCTCTTCCACCCTCCTTTCCCTGGCTCTTCCTCCCCTCCATGTTCTTCCTCCGTCCAGCCTGATCATTCATTCACTCAACACCTTAGCGGGCCATCCCTCTGGTGAGCACCAAGTTAATCACCCAGGATGCGGCCGGCAAGGCAGACGTGGTGTGTCCAGTCCCCTCCTGTCAGTCTTGTCCCTCTTTCTTTCATTCTGTCACTCATTCACTCAAGAGCATCTTGATTGTGTCTGGCTCTGTGCTGGAGCCTGAAGAAACTTGGGTGGTGGGAAGTCCCAGAGGGCCCGGGCTTCTTTCTCCCGGTTGGGAAGTTTTCCCCGCCCTCGGTCTGCCTCTGTTTTGATGCCTACGTTTGTCTTTACTCGGCAGTCCCACTTTTGGAGCCAGATTCTGCTGCTTCTCTATCCAGAAGCCTGGCGGCTCCCAGCCTACGTTTCCTTATTTACATGGACACCTCCCCTCTGCACCTCTGATCCTGAGGGTCCTCGGTGAAGTGTCCTCACAGTGGTGCCTGTCTGGAGAAGCACTGTCCTGGATCAGAATCCTCAGGAAGCAGGTGCTGAGATGTGGTCTAGTGTGTAGAATATTCCATAGGGCAGACCCTTGGTGTAAACCCCTCCAGAGGGAAGGAAACAGGAGGGGAAGTGGTTCAGCTGGCTCAAACCAGTTCCAACCAGCTCAAAACTCATTTCAACCAGTCATAACTGGCTCCAACCAGTTCAGAGCAATTCTAACTGGTTCAGACAGAAGCAAACCAGTTCCCACTAGCTCAGACTGACTTCGACCAGATCTGTCTGGTTCAAATTAGTTCCAACCAGCTCAAACTAGTCCAAGTCACCCCAATCCCTATCCTTCCTGTTCCTCTGGACTCATCATCACACTTTTCCTTCTGTTCCTTTCATTATAGATTTTCAAATGAAAGGGAGGTATTTATTATTTTCAGACCCCTTCACCCTTAAGTTGCTTGTCCCATTAGGCATTTGAATTTGCTGCCCCTAAAAATAAGGGGGTTTAATCTCCGGGGCCCCGGGTCCAAAGGCAGGCTCCTCTGGGACCAGGTACATGTGGGCTTAAAGACTTCTTCCAGCAGTGTGCAGGCTCAGGATAGGTGTGCTGTTCTTGCTGTGAACACAGGATCAGAAGCGCCCACCACCCCTCACAGCCACCCTCTAGCTAAGGCAGGTGATCTTTTGCTTAAATCCTTCCAGCTGCCTCCTTGGTGTGCCCACTTTAACCCCCACCCCCAATAATCTTGCTTTCCACTCAGCATCTTGGGGAATCCTACTTAATCTCAATTCAGATCATGTCATTTCTGTTTAAAACATTCCCCTGTTTCCACCTCACTCAGGGCCAGTACACCCATCTGCCCTTACCCAACATGCTTATTTTTCCGAGGCCTGTGATATTACCCACCCCTCACCCCGACATGCTCACTTTGGGTCAGCTCCCCTGTTCCCCTAGCAGCTGTGGTGCTCCTACCTCCAGGGCCTTTGCACTTTCTGTTCCCTTTGTCTGCAATACTGTTCCCCGTAGTCACGTGGCTGCCTTCCTCACTTCCTGCTTTTTTGCCAACACCGCTTTGTCAGAAAGGCCTCCCTAGAGCAACCCTGTAAAGTGACGCTGCCAGCCCCAGCCCTCCTACCACCTCCCCAGCGTTATCTTTGGCTGATTCGCCGCACCTGCTGCCCTTCCTCTTCATTGGCTCCTATGCTTCCTGTCTTCTCCAGGCGGAGCCTTGTTTGCACCACTGCTCCAGCCCCAGTATTTGTAAGGTGCGCCATCAACATTTTTTGAATTGCATTCCCTCCTATGAGCCCAGCCTGCTCACTGGAAAGGAAATCAAGGAGCCATATGAATCTCCTTCCCAATGCTGCCCTTCCTCTACCCAGCCCTCCACCCTCTGTGCCCCCTGCTCCACCTACCCACAGTCCTCTCTGCTGGATGCATAGCAGAGTATGGTCCTGGCCTGCAGCTTGGAACAAAAAACAGTCAGAACCCTGGGGGATTGGTGCCGATCAAAGACCTCTTCGTGTTTGTAAACCTTTACTCTCTGCCCGTGAGAGGGGGTTAGGAGATGACCCAGGACCCAGAGTTAGTCCCAGCTGCAGGCCAGGAAAGTCGGGCTTGCCCCCTGCTCCATAGAGAGGAAAGGCCCTGCAGGCAGAGCTGCTGGCTGCCCCTCCAGGGCATCTAAAGGGGTGACTCATCCCAACCCCAGCCGGAGGCCCGCTGGCTGGGACCTGCTTCAAAGCCAATATTGCTCTTGGAGCTGCACAGACCTTGAGCGAACTGTCACACTGAAAGATGCTGACATTGGGGCAGGGCTCAGCCAGGGGCAGTGGGGGTGGGGGCCGAGAGCCCTTCTGTGGAGGGGGAGGAGAAGTTATGCCAGCGCGCCCCACACCTGCTCTCCCTGGCTTTTTTCTTGAGATACACTATAAATTTCACGCATTTACCTTATTAAAAACGCAGCAGGCGGCCCTCCCTGGTGGCGCAGTGGGTTAAAGCACAGCACTGAGAATCTAAAGCCACTTCCGCATGAGTTTAATTCCCGCCTGCCCCGGAGGTGACCCACATGGCGTGGCAGACCTCTCCTGACCCGCCCACTGCTCCCCTCAGCAGTGTACTTCGTCCATCTGCCTGTTCTGCTCCCCACTCTGTCTCTGGTGAAGCCTCTCACCACCCCTGAGCCTCTGCCCTGTACCCCAGTTCTGTATGCACAAATAAATAAATCTTAAAAAAAAAAAAAAACGCAGCAGGCTCTTGAATAACATTTCATTCAATGCCGTTTCATTATAGTATAGAATAAAGCTAAAACGCTCCCTGGGCCCGCCATCTGTGGGACTTTGCACCTTCTCCCGTCTGTGTGGGTTTTCTTCAGGAGCCCGTGTCTTCCCACCCCCCAAAGACATGCACATGCGGTTCATTGGCGGCTGTCCGTTGTCCCAGAGTGAATGGGTGAGGGTAGGTAGGGATGTGCCCTGAGAAGGAAAGTCCCCAGAGTGGGTCCCACCTTGCACCCTGAACTGCAGGATAGGTTCCTGTCCCCCTGCCACCCCCCACCCAAACTAGCTACTTGGGAAATGGATGAATGAATACATACACATGATTGCTAAGGCTAGTGGTGTTTTGGACCTTTATATATGTTATCTTTTTTGAAAGATTTATTTATTTATGCATGCAAGAATTGGGGTACAGGCCAGAGGTGCAGGGATGAGAAGATTCACCAGAGAAAGAGTGGGGAACAGAGCAGGCTGATTGACTAAAAGACTTTACTGCAGCAGGTGCAACAGGCGAGCTCTGCTGTGCCATGTGAGTCAGCTCCCTGGCCAGGGATCAAACTCGTGCTGCAGTGGCTGCGGATAGCTTCACAGTGCTGCACTTTAATCCCTTACACCACCAGGAAGGCCGTGTGTGTGTGTGTGTGTGTGTGTGTGTGTGTGTGTTTGATGATGTTTTTATGGCCAGAAGTATGCTGTCAGAACTTAACTCCTGTTTATATTAATTAACCTACATTAAAATTGGTTTTGTTTTATATTGTTTTGCTTAAAGTCACATCAACAGGGCCTGTTGAGTGAGGATTCACTGTCCTAAGATGAGAACTCTATGAGAGAGTGTGGGTGGGATGTGCCCAGATCCTAATGAGGCTTATCCCTGCCTCAGAACCAGCTGTTTGGAGGGGATGGAGGGATGGCAGGCAAGTGGGGGAAGAGATGGGCAGGCAGAGGGAGCCAAGGCAAAGAGCTGGGCAAGTCACGTTGCAGAGGGAAGGTCACCACAGGGCAGCACATAGCGATTGAGGGGAGGCTGGTAGAATGTGGCAGTTGAACTAGGCAGGACCTCATCATTCATGTAAGTGCCCCAACCAGCACGTGGCACATTGCAAGCCCCTAACAATTGGCTGATGACTATAATTGATATATTTGCACACTTTCCATAGACTGTCATTTGCCTACTAAAAATAGGGGGTATGATTAATAGGATGCCGTTGGAATTTCAGCTCTACCTTTCACTAGCTGTGTGTCGCTGAATAAATGTCTTAATTTCTCTGAGCCTTAGTCTCCTCCCCTGTCCAATTAGAGATTCCCTAATAGGAAACGAAAGTAAATGACCGTCAAACCCCACACTGATTGTAGAGGATCTTTAAGAATCCCCCTACACTCTCCTCCCTTTTCAGTGTAGCGGAGGAAGAAGGAACAAAGGGGCCTGAGGGTCCAGCCCCGGTGCCACTCGGCTCCCCTGCAGTGTCCGAAGTCTGCAGGCTACGTGCCCTGCTGACTGTCCTGTAAGAAGCTCTTCTGCAGGGTGTAAGAAATATCGCCAGGTAAAGGACGAAACGAGGCAAGAGAGTAAAGGAATAAGGGGCCTTTATTGCAACTCCCAGGCTAGGTTCAGGGGCTGAGAAGTTGCACCCTGGTCACAGGCTAGGGATATTTTATAGACAGGGAATGGAAAATTACCGGGACTGACAGTTTTCCTAGAATGCGGAACTGAATTGTTTTTCTCAGCGTCTTGGTGATCTATATCGAAATCACCACCTGGCACCCCTCCTCATCAGGGTTCTAGGTGCAGCAGTGGGGACATTGCTTCTGGAATTTGAGAGGAT